TGTTCTCTGAGAGTTTTCTGTCATCATCTCTCCATATTCAGCCTTGCTTGCAATATGCTCTTGTACAGCTTAAATTTCTGTCTTTTGCTACTGTTTAATCCTTAGTCCACAGTCTATTTCTTTCTTTCACTATAAAAGCTGTCTTTTCTCCCGGTTTCCCTCCCTATTCCTAACCCTTTTCACAGCATTCTTTCTCTCCAAAAGCTCCAATTGCCTCCTGTAGCTCTTTGAAGCCTCCATGGATATCTTGTCTAATAAAATGTCCTATTCAAGCACCTTGTTCTCACCTACAAGACAGTGTCTTATCTTAGGTCTACTGAAGTCTTTTTCCTTCCTTTTCTCTCTTTTTTGCTCTATCTGAAGCTATTGCTTGAGACAAAGCACACTTGATGTGACTTCTTTCTGTCCTGTGTCTCTTTGCCTCATGTCCTCCTGTGCTTTCTTTGTTTCTTATTGCCTCTGTGTTTATCTCTTAGATGCTCTGTTACTGTTAAGTAGTCCTCCTTTTGTCACCTTTCTCCTCTTCCTCCCTCAAAACTCCATTTTTCCCTTTCACCTTTACAGTTGCTTTTGTCTCATAGCCCATCTTTCATATTATCTCCTTCAAAGCCTTGTTGGATTGAGTTCTCTGAAGCACAGAATATTATTTTTTCTTTATTCTTAAATGGCTGTTTTTCTCTTTTGCATGCATGGTTCTGAGTAACAATAACTCCACCTCCACAAATTCAACTCCTTTCAGTCTGGGGTGGTAGAGGGCTCTGCATTACCATCTGCTATAATGTCTGTGTATGCAGTACTGGTGCCAGCTGAAAAATAAATGTTGTGTTTCATTCCAGAGGAGGCTGCAGTCTGGCGGTGGATCATGAGGTTTGTCACGGGCCATAAGAGAAGTCACGAAGTGGTCTAGATCTTTTAGGATGAATCTGCTAGAGAAACACCCCCCAAAAAAACTCTAGTATAGGCAGAAGGCTCAGAAGTTAGTATGATGGCTGATAATTGTGTGGGCAGGGCTCAGGGAACAATATTAAGCTTGTCACTGTTGATTAACAGTACTGGAATTTCAGGTGATAAATGTCCTGGGACAGGACCATGAGAGAAGCACAAGTCTTCAATCATCCCTCTCCCCTACTATCAAACCTTTCCCTATAAAGGCAGTGGGATGGGAAGGCTAGGAATTATATTTCTGAATCCTGAAAAGTGTTCAGGAGAAAAAAATTAAAGGCAGAGAAGAGGGAGACCTGAGGAAATATTGGGAAGAGGAGGGAGAAAGATAGGTGGCTGACTGGAGAAGAGACTCATCTCGGTTAAGAGTTCTTCTAACTTCTATTCCTTTCTTTTTCCTCACCTAAGATCCTAATTTGGGCTGTAGCTGTAGTTTCATCTGTCATGAAGATGTTCTGCCTGAAGGAAGTACCACAGAAACACACTTTGGAGTCCTTCTAGGGCCTGTAATATGCAAAGAAAAAACTGGTGTATGAGCAGGTTTTATACCTTTCCTCTTGTGTGTTGCAGGGCAGTCTAGAAACTTTTGTGAGCCCTTTCAAGAGGCTCAGGTGGACCTGAGGAGTCAAGCCGTGCATACAGGTCATCTGTATTTGTGACTGGTGCAAGATGGTTATTAGGTCTTCCTCTGTTTTTCACATCTTCCTCCACCTCTGTGCTAGTCTCCTGAGGCTGTTGGCAACCTCTCAAGCAACAGCAGTGCTACATTGCCGTCTCCTGGTAGAAGGGCAGAGCTAGGCCTTGGCAGTAGAAAACAGGACAGATGAGCAATAAAGAAAATACATCAAGAAGAACTGTGGCAGGAAAATTCAGGAAAAGTGATAGGGGAGATTTCACAGCAGCTGCTGGGCAACAGCAGTGCAGAAAGGGAGACCTTTTTCAGGCAGTGCTCTGTATTCTCTGCTTTTGGGACTCTGCTGGTCTGAAAACACAGACAAGACAATGGGTAGAGCTGGAAAAGTACCTTTCATTAGGTCAGCTGTGAACAAGCTATTGGGTCTACAAGTTCTTTGAGTCTGAAATAGAAGCAGCAGACCTCAAAGCAAATACAAGTTGAGAGTTGCGTCTTTGAATTTAACTAGACTAGTGTCAGTGAGGCTGTGACACAAGATTATTGGTACCTTGTGGAACAGAGAGGATGTTAATAGTGCCCGGAGAGCTGACAAAGTGCTTTTCTCTTAGGGGAAAGAGGGAGAGGTGTGATTTATAAGCTGTGGAGCATGATAAGATTAGTGTTCAGGACACAGGAAATAATGTAACATAAATCCAGTATCTCTACAGATGGCATATATTTTGTAATGCACTGGAATGGTGAATTTCAGTTCTCAGTCTTTTCCTCCGTAGACAGTATCTGGGTACAGAGATCAGAGGCAGAGACATTGCTTGATGAAAAGTACTCTCCCACTGGGAATTAGATAAATTCTGGGCCCTTAGCTGCAGATGTCCTTAGAGTATACACATGTACCACTGTGTGCACAGTGATAGTTCAGTTTCATCCCTATAGTTATCAGTCTACTATTTGGTGCACTGGATGAGGTGTGACGGCGCAGGGTTATGGTGGGTTGTCTTCCTCATGAGGATAGTAAAGGTTTGTTTTTCAAGGAGCATCTAGAGCCATTTGGTGGATGTTGGCCTTGGGGTCCTTCATGCTTTTATGGATCAGGTGAATGAGGCTGGGGCCAGTTTGGAGGCTGAGGAGGGAGAGTTCTTGGAAAAAACCTTTCAGGGTAGAATCATCTTATTGTAGGCTATAATTACATAATTATTTTCCATGGAAAATCCACAACAGTGGATACAAGACAGAAGGCAGATTTTTATTAGCTGGCAGTAGGGGGTTCTTTTTTATATACTCAAGACATTTCTGATGTGGTATTTTTGTACATCTTGAAAAACAAGAGCTAAAAAAGTGCACGTTTGGGTAAAGGTTCCTATTAGTTTTCTCCAGTGGCTGTGATGAGTGTTCTACTCCAATAAATGTAATACTAACTGAATATCTGGTGCTGTATTACAGCTTTGATGTTTGCTGGGGCTTATTGTGGTCAGTTTTTAGGTTTTCTATATATGATGTGCACTTATATTCTATACAGTTTTTAGTGTTTTATACACTATATAGTATATGCTGTGTATCATTTTTTATGTAAACCATAGCAACATTGGTTTTCCAAAAGCATCTCAATAAGTTGGGAGCGGTTAATGGCTTTATGATGGAAAACTATTAAGGTATCCAAATATTCTTCTTCAATTTTCTAGACACAGTCACTTGAAACTCTTCTTTAAGGTGGTTCATTACAAGTTTTTTCCTACTGATGGGCCACAGTCTTCCTCCAGGAAATAGTGCCTGTATGACACTGTATAAAGTGAGGGCTGGTGAGAATGAAACAAATGATCCTATATGTTTTTGTTAATATTTAGAGTTGCCCGGCCTGCCACAAGGTGTGGGTTGTACAGGCTATTAATATCCATATGGGTATTATTGCTAATGGATATCCATATGGGTATGGTTAGCAGAAACATTGGAGGAGGTGGGGAGGTGGTTTATGGAGGAAATCAAGTGTGTCTTCCTCTTAGAGAGTTTCTTTGTATCCCACTCTCAAGAACCATTCAGACTGAGAAAAAGCAAAATGAGCCTACAGGAGAAATGTTTTACAGAGATCTGCAAAATGAAATACTGAGACTACCATTCTGGACTCAAAAGCAGGGTGTTTTGCCTCTTTCTGTCCCCGTCCTCTCTGCAAATCTCTTATCCTGCAGTGTGAGACACTTGGAAACCATTATTCTAGAGAGGTGATAGTGAACAAGAGGAAGGAGGAGTTAACAGCAGCTCTTTAGTGACTGTGTTTGAGGCATGTGGGGTCTTCTTTTCTTGTACATAACTTCTAGGATCTTGAACTCACTGCTCCTCGTTGATTAATAGCCGTCAAAAGACATATGGTTACATTCAGCACAGTGACAGTACCAGGAGGTGTCTCTAGACCATGTGCTGCAACATGCTTCTCATTCCTGTCGCTGGCTGGTAGCTCGCTGGTGTTGGCTGAGCTCATTGCTTTCTTGCCTGGCTGAGAAACAAGTGGCAGAGCGGAGAGGAGAAGCCGTTGAGCGCTCTAGCCTGGGCAAAAGTGAGCATCAAAATGAATAAATTTCTGCATGTACCCCTAATTGAATACCCACAGGTGTGGTGGCCTTCTTCAAAAGGGTAAAGTGTTCGCCATAAGGGCACATGGGAAAGCTGCAATTAAGCTGTAACCCTCAGCATTTTACAGCGATGCCTGACTTCCCCATTAGGGCTCACTTTTTCTCTTGTGGGCCACGGACTTAAAAAAATTGTCGCGGGCCACTGAGTGTGTACCCATCATGTCCTACCTCACCATAGTCGCTGTCATCTTTATGACTGTCACTCAGTCTTTTGGACACCTGGTTATCTGGGAAGAGAACAAGGAAGATCACTGAATTTTGTTCTCACTGCAAATACGGCTTGCTCAGGATGGGGAGGTGTGAAAGAGGAGATCTCCTGAATAATCATTTCTGCCTCCTCCTGTCTGCTTTCTGCCTCTGTACTTCTGTCTCTGTCTGTCTTACCGCCTTCTTTCCTCCTCCCCCCTTCTCCCTTCCCTCTCCTTCAGGAGTTCCCCTCTGGCCCACACCTGATATTCAATCCCAGTCGGAGTTAGTGCCTTTTGCTGAGATCAGACACGGCACTGGGGAATCATGTGGCAGAGGAAGGTTGCTATAAATATAGTTAAACCCTGCAATCGCTGCCTTTGGGCAGGAAGGGGAGAGAGAGGCAAAAAGAGGAGGAGGAGGAGGAAGAGGAGGAGGAGGGGCAGAGAGAAAGCGAGTGAAGGAACAGGACAAATCAGAGTGGTCTGAGGAGAGAAAGAAAGGAAGGAGGGAGCAGAGGAAAGTGCGGAGTCCGTGCTCTTGGCCAGAACATGAGGTGGTTCTAGGTAAGGCCCAGAGCGGCAGCTCCATTACAACTGGGAGTGAGGAAGAGTAGAGGCATGGAGAGCTCAAAGACCCTGACGCAGGAGCCCAGATCGAAGTCAGCTTTGTGGGAGGGCCCACCGCAATACGACTATGTCTGCTTTGAGAAATGCACCCGTTACGGGATACCTTTGGAGGCAGGACGCGAGGCCCGGGGGACAGGGGACGACCAGCACTACCTGGAGAACTCCTCCCTCAGCTACCCACAGGTAGGGCTGGACAACTGGGACGTTTGTGGCAGCACAGGTCTCCCTGGGATCACGAAAGGTGTTGGGGTTCCCAGAACGGTGCTGGTAGAGCACACATCCCTGTCCGTTTGCAGTCCTACCAACTCTCCCCTTCGTTTGATGACTCCCAGGTCAAGCGTTGACTTTCATGGTTGCACCTGCATCCAGGAGTGCTATCAGCATTTCGAGTCAGGGGTCATTTTCACCTGCCATGGACACAAAGATAGAATGGGCAAGCTGGGGTGGGGAAAATCAACCAGTTGATCTTCAACTGCAGTTGAAGAGTGACTAAAACAAAGAGGACAGTGATGTATACAGAGGGATATCTGTCTGCACAGCTGTACAGATGAAGTCATGCAGACCAAAAAGCACTTCATGGTCACAGACCCATACCTGTATATGGATAGTTTTGGTAACTCTTAGGGGAGCTGTGAGTGAGAGATTTTCTAACCCTTAAACTTGACCTGACTCTTGCTCTGGTTCACACAAGCAGCGGTTCAGGAAAACTATGTGGGACACAGGTGTACTTTGGTTGGTTATGGCTTCTTGTTCCATTATGCTCTGTATCTCCTCTACCTCTCCTTTTGGGACAGCCTTCTGCAAAGGGGAGGTTCTACAGCAGAGTCCTGGTGTCTAATTTCCTACCGCTCTGCTCAGGCTAAGCTGACTTAAGAAGGCTTTAGAGCAGTGAAGGATCCGATCAAATGATGAGGGAGAGAGTGTGTGAGTGTGGAATTCATACAGAGTGTATATTTCTCCATACATGACGCATGAACACTTAGGTGAATGATTGGGGGATGAAGGAGGGGATGCGTTAATTATTTCCTGAAGACCTTTGTGATTTAGTGATAGCAACAAAACCACATTTGCTGCCCGGAAAAACCTCTTCCAGTAGATAACCTTCCCCATGAGGATTCTATGTGCCATGTTGCAAAAGATTAGAGAATCAATTTCATGGCCATACTCAGGAATTTCTCTTCTGAAACTGCAAAGGAAATGCACCTTGTGCTAAATGTGGGCAGGGAGGGAGAAGCTGTGGGATGCAAACAGTTTCACCAGTGCTCTGGAGATAAGTAGATAGACAACCTCACACATAAACAAGCAGGCCTTAAAATGCATTCCCATGCATATCTTCAGGCAGTAATGTCCCCAAGCAAGTGGGCATTTGTGAACACAAATTGCAATCAAAAAAACAGACAGGCGTATTTATAGATTTACTGAAAAAATATGTCCTAGAAATACTTTTGCATAATCAATCACATACACATGTGCATGTACGTTTATGTATGAAACTTTGCATGCAGACATATTCTGGCAAAACCAGGCTTGCTGCACGTATGTATATTTTGCTAGCCATTCAGGTATATGCATATAAGGTATAAATATGCATTAGGTATAAATTAAGGTATTTATCATTATTAAATTACTATATATAAATATATATAAATTACTATATATACATATATAAAAATTACTATATATACATATATAAAATCACTATACATATAAAATAAATAATTATTTGTTATTATAAAATTAAAATTAAAATAAAAATAAAATTAAAAATACCTTATTAAATTAAGGTCTAAATATGCATTATATATAATGCTAATATATATTATATGCTAATATATATTCTTAACATGCTAATGCATATTTATACCTTATATATATTATATATACCTTGTACAAACATGCACACTTATGTAATTAGCAAGAAAAACAACCTTCTGCCCATATTTTCTTCCATTTCCATGCAGAGTAACCATTGAGATTTCTTTCCCCGCTGTCATGTGAAAAAACACTTGGCAGAGAGAGATTTTGATTCTGTTGTGCCCTTTTCTTTTGCCTTCTGTTTTGTATGTAGGTTGGAAGCTATTTCAGACCAGCTTTGTGATTTGATTTGGTTTACAGAAGCCTCAGAACAGTGAAATCTTGGTCGTTGGCCCAGGACCAAACTGATGGTCAAAAAACAAATAATTGTTAATAGATAATAAAATAATAATAGTAGTCAGATAATAATAGTAATATATACATAATTTTGGACAATTAAGATAGTAGGTATATGATAGATGATGTAATTGATAAAAATATACATTGTCATACACTGTAGGATTTTGTATTGTCTTCTTTCTGCATGAGAAAACAGCTACAGCTGGTGAAGTATTTAGAAGCTGTATTATTCATGACTATAGAAAGGATGTTCATGGCAATACACAGATGGGTGTAGTGGGAGGGGTGTGTAATGAGTAATTAGGCAATGCAGTAATACAGAATAACAGGCTCGCAGAAAGATGTAGGTGAGAGGGGCTTCTGGAGGTCTCTAGCCCAAGCCCCTGCCCGCAGCAGGGCTGACTCAAAAGCTAGGTCGGGTTGTCCAGGCATGTTCTGAACATCTCCAAGACTGAAGATTCCCCTGGGCACCTGTTCCTGTGCTGAGCTACCCTCTGGAGGGAGTGGATGGGGACATGTTTTCCTTTTGCATAGACTTTCCTTTCTTGCAAGTTATGGCTTTTTCCTTTTGTCCTTCACTGCCCCTCCAAGAAGTATTGCTGTGACATTTCTCTCCAACCCCCCTCTCTCTTCAGGTGGTGGGACTGCTGTTAAATCTCCCCTTTGCCTTCCGTTCTTCGGGAAGAGCTATTATTTTGTTGCTGCTCCTCACATGTGCTTCATTGGCTCTATATCTAAACAGTTGAGCCTAGACCTTTTACTGACATTTACATTTGCTTATGAAGTGAGTTTGGGGAGGTTTCAGTTTTGAGACCAAATATGGCTACTCTTTCGTGATCCATCAGAAAAAAAATCCTAAGGAAGATCATTTCAGGAGCAGCAGGTTGGCTACAAGGTGGGAGTGAGAGGGGTGAGCAGTAGAGCCCAAGGCCACCTCAGTGGCCAGGAGCAGCAGATTAAAAACAGTATACACTGGGAATGCTGGGGGAAGGGATTTCAGGACTAGAGTATGTTGAGAAGAACATATTGTTCAGTCTGAATGGCATGGGGAATAGCTTTGGACTGTGAGATGAGGACAATTTTGGGCAGGTGCTGAGCTTTCAGAAAATAGCTCCCAGAAAAGTCTTGAGATTATGGTGCTGTACATATTTTTCCCCTGAGATTCTCTGCAGCTTTTCCTCCATTACTCAAGCAATGAAACTTCCCCATCTTTTTTTGGAAAGATAAACCCTGCTGGTTTACAGTTAAATATTAATAAATGCTATCTCCCTTAAAATGAACTTTACCCTGGTTGTTTTTTGGGGTTCTCCTCTCCCCTTCTTCCTCCTTAACAGTATTTATACCTTCAGCTGTTTTTGCACCGTTATCATGTTCTCACTCAGCATTTAGCCAAGCTGGGCATGATAGTACTTTTTCTGGCTCAACCCTTTAGGTGGTAATTGATATATTTTAACATTCCGGTTTTACTGGTGCTCGGAAACTCTGCATTCCTTGTGTTAGTGAGCGCATCAAAAGAAGGAACTGTGTTATATTTTTAGTTTTATATGTCTTCTAATGGAGTGGATATTTCTTACCTAACCTACTTTTGCTTTAAGGTCATCCTCTGATTTCTGGATTCTTTCTCTCTCCCACAATCTCCTACCATTTTAAATAGTGCCAGAGTCCTGGAAAGAAAAGCATGTGTATGAGACAATCTTTAAGTGAATTGAGACTAAGTTGTTCTATAGGACAGAACCTTCATTTTCGTGTCTGGAGACTAATTCCTTTTTCCCCACATCCTGACTGCACCATTTTCCAGCTAGATAGAAGCAGTGAACTAGAATACCATATGAGGACTTTTACCATTCATACTACTATATTGTCATGCTATTCCATCTGGGCAGTTGGAAGACTGTAATTTGAACATCATACTTGGCATGGATTTGAGTTCATAGTTTGGATTAAGCTGTATTTGATATAAACCTATCCCTCGTGACCATGTAAAGGCAATGAAACATTAGCTGAGGTGATGTGAAGATGCATTTGTCTAAAATCTGCTGGTACTTGCCATTTCTGGCTGAAATAGACACAGTGAGAGAAAAAAGGAGCAGTCTGCTGTTTACGACTGGATTCTGCATGTGACAGCTTATCTTATATATGAAGCTTGTCAGTCTGATGTTTCACTGCCTGTATTATGGGGGTCAGAGCACATCCATTCCTCACTTCAAAGAGTCTGCATTGCTTAATTTGCCTAGAGTGTGTTGATAATCATGTGGTTAATAATTACATTCAATTTGTCAGCTTCCAATGTAGAAGAATACTTTCAGATGTTCAGATAGCATCAATTTGTTTAAGAGACAGTAGGTAGGCCACCTTAAGAACAGGATGATTTAAAAAAGCCTAGATGTGTGTTCTGTGAAAAAAACGTTAGGGTTTTCAAAGGGAGCTACTGCACGTGGTTCAAGGCTCTCACAAGGAATATGAAAATAAATAAACGAGTTAGGACCTTCAGTCATATTTGTTACGTGGAAATATGAATTGGTTGATCACTGAAACAGGTGGTCAGAGAAGCCAGGGAAATTCCACCCTTAGAGATATTTAGGAGTTGCCTGGACAAGGTCTTGAGCAGCCTAATCTGGCTTTGGAGTTCCCATGCTGCAAGCAGGGACTCGGACTAGAAACTTCCAGAGGTGCCTTCCAGTCTAAATCTTTCAGTGAGTTTCTGAATTTATTAGATCTCAAGGTAAAAAGAGCAACATCTCCTGTGTCACTTTGAAAGGAGGAGACATGAAGCAATCAAATAGAAATGTCTCCTAAGCACATGATAGTGCTTTATATCCCTCATATGTCTTGTCTTTCTCCAGCTGAAGTGTCTGATTTTGCTGATCATAGCACTGCTCACTCTCCTCCCGCCACTCAGAAAATCTTAGAGAAGCAGATGGGGAGAAAGCTGGGGAAGAAGCAAAGGGTCACCTTGGGAAGTGCCAAGATCACAGGCTGTGCTTCAGGTGGTGACCTGGCCTCAGGTAAAGCCAAATCCAGTTTATTGAAGGACATGTGAGGAGGAGAGGCTTATTCTCTGCTTCTCAAATGCACACCTTCCCCAGCTGTACTCTGAAAGGGTGCAGCAGGGTAGCTGCTCTGATAAACAAACAAGGGGGCACAGTCAGGATCCTTCAGACTCCCTTGAAGTCTTGTTGACAAGGTGGCACAACTGCCAGTTGTACTACAGATCCATGTATGATATGGCATTGGTAAACACGGGTGTGAATGGCATATAACCAATTGCATTTCAAGATCAGTACCTGAAGACGAAGACTAGATTAGGTAGTTAGGAAATTCAGAGGAACTGGAGATAGGAGAAGCCTTAGCATGATGATTTGGGTAAATAATGGGAGGAGGTGTGTAAGTACCCTGTGATATGTCTGAGCTGCTGCTGCTTGTTTTCCTCTGCAGGCACCACCAGTGGCTGTGTGCCCTGTGAAGCATTCCTTGGCAGCAGGAGGAACAGATGCGGGATGTTCCTGCAGCCTGTTTGATAGTGTAATACCTCTCGAAACCTTCAGAGATGTTCTACAGTGCTGCTGAAATCTATGAGACAGCCCTGAGGGTGGCAGTCTGGTGTGAACTACTTTGACCTTCTTTTGTACCTCCAGAAAGCCTGTTCAGTCTCTTCAGACAACAGCCAGCTCTTTCTCAGGATGTTGGAAAACAATTAATATTCTGTGTTCATATCTTGTACCCCCAAAAAGATTAAAAAAGATTTTGGAGTGAATGAGAAGAGGGAACCAGACAGGAAAAAGGAAAAAAAAAAAAAAAAGATGAACTGCATCTGTCTGAGAGTTTCTGTGTCTCTGTCTCCCTGCTTGGGTACATTTGGGTTTGCACCTTGAACTGTTAGTAAATCTGCCTTTTCATCTTAAATTCTACTTGTGAAGGAGCGTTTCCCTTACCCTTCCCTTTTGTTCTCTCTTGCTTCCTGCTCCTCTAGCTTTATGGCCAATACACAGATCAGATAACCAACTTCGCAGAAAAGGAAGCAGCAAAACTACTGTACAAGAAGCAGAACAATGAAAGACCCCTGAAACGTGAGAGTCAAGTAGAGATCAAAGAAGAGCACTATTCCAAATGTCAAGGTAAGGGCAATTCATCTTTCATTACCCTATGTCCAGACATTGGGTAGACCAGCCAGAGAGACGGAATTTTAGCAAGGTAAAAAACAAGAAAATTGTGACTGGGGAGAAGCAGAAAAGGAAGAAAAAGGAATCACAGTGGATCGAAAATACTTTTTTCATGTGAGCTTTCATCCTAGGAAGAGCCAAGATCTGCTTGGAAAAAAGAATGGTCCCAAGTTAATAATATTTTCCATAACAGATCTCTGTAACAAGAGGAAATGGGCTTTCTCATGTTAGATTTTTGCTGCTAGTGCACAAAATGTTAAATTCCACCCACCCCAGCTTTTTTTTTTTTTTTTTTTTTTTAGTAAACTGCATATGGTTTTGCAGGACTGTGTAAGAGAGAGATGGGTATCAGTCCTTCAACACGAAACCCATGATGCTTCCAAATAAATCCTTACTGCAGTTAGTTCTCAGCCCAGGAGACAAGAGACAGACACAGGCTTCATCTATGTTCCTTCAGTTTTTCTGGTTCACTCTTCCCTCCACAGACTGTGCTAGACGCATCCAGAAATATGTTACCAAGAAGCTTGGAGAGGACTGGATTTTCCTGGTTCTCTTGGGTCTGGCCATGGCGTTGGTGAGCTGGGGAATGGATTATGCCAGTGCGAAGAGCCTACAGGGTGGGTCCCATTCAGGTGTTGCAAAAACACACTGTAAATTATGTTAATGTTTTACAAAGCCCAGTGACAATGTTCCTCCTCCTTTAACATCAGTGTCCCATCCTCACCCCTTGCTGCCTGGGAAGTTTGAAGTACTTGCAATGTAGTAGAGAAAAGGTTAACTAGGGAGAGGTTCTTTAAAGGGATGGCAGGGAAAAATTTGGAAGTAAGTGGGCAGAAACAAAGGATATGTTTATGATGAGCCAAAGAAAACATGTTATTTTGACTCCCTTTCCCTCCTGCTCCATTAAACATGTAGGGGCACAGGGAAGTGGTACTGTGGTCATTCCTATCATACTGGTTCCCATCTTCCCCAGAAACAATGAGCACGTGGAAGATGGGCAGGAGAAGGGCTCTTGGATGCCCTCCTGACACTGTTTCTGTTTTTTACTCATTGTTCTTTCCAGTTTTTATTTATACAGTGCCCTGCAGTTCCCTGCTACCTGGCCACATACTGCTCTCTCCTTTGTCTCTTTTCACACAGATCTCCTAATCACTGTCTTATATTCCTTCACTACATTTTTCCTATGGTCCCTCTCCCCTTTGCCAGCTGTAACAATTACAAGATCTTTCAGTCCTCCTGCCCCCCATCTTGGTGCATACCTGTACACACGACATTGTCCACATTCTGTTAACTGCACTGTCTCTTTGTCCTTACCCTCAGTGTCCCAGAACTGACCTGCACACACACCCCAGCCCTTTCCCTTCCTGCCCCCCATCTTGGTGCATACACATGTACACATGACATTGCCCACATTCTGTTAACTGCACTGTTTCTTTGTCCTTACCCTCAGTGTCCCAGTCCTGACCTGCACACACACCCCAGCCCTTTCCTCTCAGCACTCTTGGCTGCTGATGTCCACCAGACACTGCAGTTCCTCAGCCCAATGTTCTTCCTTCTAGAGCTTCCCCATCCACCAGGCGTCTGGCATCCCCTACCAGTTTCAGGGAGCCCCTGTCCTTTATGCTGCCCACAGCTGAGTCATTTGTTGTTTTTTTCTTTCCCTCCACCAAGTCTCAGGCTCCTGCTGTATGGGGAGCCAGCTCAGGCAAAGAGCCTCCTCCTCCTGCTGCACAGGAGCTGCAGTTCAGTTTGGATTCTCAGCAGCTCGTCGTGCTGTTGCACCTGGCTGAGCAATGGTACCACTGCTGTTTTAACAGTTGGCACAGCTCCCTTCATGCTGCTACTCTAAAAGACAGATCAAAATCAGAGCTCTTAAGCTAGTTTTTATGAAGGAATGATTTTCATGTGATTGAGATGGAGGAGAGGGCACTAGCTATTGGTGGGCCACTTTATTGTCCTTCAGGATCCACACAAGATCCTCGGGTTGCCAAATAAAAAGACCCTGTGCAGTGATTCATCCTCACAATTGCATGTAACATACCTCTTCTTACGCCACATTTGAGCACAGGTATTGATAGTGTTTAAGAACAGGGAGCCATTTCTACCCATTCCTGCAGAATCGCTCTTTTATTTGGGAAACTTGTACTCCAAAAGTAACAAGGCATGTCTTAGAAAATGAGGACTTTAGAATAACATTTCTCAGGGAGATTTAGTATGGGCAGGTTTAGCAAGTGTGTGATTCTTTGATGTCTACCAACCTGTTTGGAGCAGCTGTGGTTACTGACGCCTTCTTTGTTTCTTTGCCTACAGCCTACAAGTGGATGTACCGAGAGCTGCACCCGAATGTTCCTCTGCAGTATCTGGTGTGGGTCACATACCCACTTGTTCTTATTCTGTTTGCGGCCATTTTCTGCCACCTCGTCTCTCCACAGGCTGTTGGTGAGGGCAGAAGGCATGGCAAGACGTGTTTCTGTCTGTCTCGTTTTTCTTATTCCATTTGCCTGCGGGTTTTGTTCATCCCCTGCTCTGCTGTTGTTTTCAGGGTCTGGAATCCCAGAGGTGAAGACCATAATGAGGGGAGTGGTCCTCAAGGAATATCTCACTCTCAAAGCTTTTGTGGCCAAAGTTGTGGGCCTCACGGCTGGGCTTGGAAGTGGCATGCCTGTGGGGAAAGAGGTAAATATTGCTGTTTTCATGTGCAGTAGTGGCCAGGTCTGGGAGGTAGGAGGAGTCCTCTGTGGAAGAAGAGTCAATAAATGTTTTCTTTCTTTTGCCACCATTCCTCTTAAAGCTCTGCTCTTTCTAGCAACACTTGGCCATTTTCCTTCTACTTCGAAAGGCTTGATATAAAAAACGTCAAAGAACTGAAGTCAGCTAATCTTTGAGATGAAAAAAAAAAATAATATTGGAGGACTGCCTGAGATGGCCAAAGAGAAATTATGAGATCTGCAATGGCTAAATGGTTGTCAGTAACCAGAGGGTAACCTTCTCTGATTTCCTCCTTCTCTCTTCTAGGGTCCTTTTGTGCATATTGCCAGTATCTGTGCTGCAGTACTCAGCAAGTTCATGTCAGTCTTCTGTGGTGTGTATGAGGTAAGGCACATGTCTCTGCATGCAGCTCTTCCACAGGTTGAACCCCTGAGACACATGGGATAGCATTGGTAGGACACAAAACACAGAGGAAACATATAGATTGAAGTTCACTGTGCTGGTATAGAGCAGTAAAATAGAACCCAAAGAAAACGGTGGTGGGAGGCCAGATATGCATTCAAATAACTGTTCAGGACCACCAATGTTATCTACCAATTACACAGAGGCTGGTTAGAAATACGCCTTTGACAAGTTTTCAATCTCATGATGCTGATACCTGTGCACTGTAATCACTGTCTGTATAAAAAAGTAGCTGCAGACAAAGATCAATTTGTCTTTAAGCCAAATTTATACAGCATTGCTAATTATAGACACTGACACTCTCCAGGCTTTTGCTGTCGCAGAACAGCCTCTGCAGGCTGATCACTGTATTGACTAGTTGAATATATATATATAAAAAAAATCTATTAACTGCTTATATAGCTAAATGTAGGAACTGCTTTACATACAGGCTCTTAGCAGAAGCTGGCTGTGTAATTCAACAATAGGAGGTGCTGTTCTACTTGAGTAGATCCTGTCTGTGTAGAAGGACCAGATGTCACTGCTGAAGACCAGCTGCCAGTACTAAAGACCGCACTAAAGTGTGTAGAGCCTGCTATTTGTAATAGCAGTGGCTGAATCTGCTGCTGGCTGTTGCTTTGTTTCATTGTTCTGGATCCTAACCTCCTTGCTTTGCTCCCTCTAACCCCAGCATGCCCTTCTCTGGCTGCACTCTCTGTTACAGAATGTGCATAGGCAGTTCGACCTCCTGGTGGCGGCTTGCACAGTTGGAGTTGGATGTTGCTTCGGGGCTCCTCTTGGAGGCAAGTGTCTTCCTATATGTGACATTTAATGTACAGCTCATTTAGCCTCTTGCTGTGAGATTTCCTGCTCTCAGGAAAAGGTTCTCCACAGATTCCTCTTCCACTCTAGCAACACAAGTTCTTTCTTTTCACGTGGACCTGATAACAGTGAAAGAAAGGGAAGGCTGTAGGAAAAGTGACACCTCTTAATATGCTGATTTCTAATGATGCAGCTTGTTCAGTCCCTGCCATGGATGTTGTTCAACCTGGAGAGCACCAAGCACTGTCCAGAAAGTCAATAAAGATTGACTAGAGAATAGAAGTTAAAAAAACCCTTCATTTTTGCAACATCTAAGGGCAGAAGAAGGTGGCAATTGTGACAGGAAGTGATCATGTGAATAGGAACCTACTGTATGAATGCTTCTTCAGTGGACTGGAGAACAGAATTATCAGTGTGTAAAGTTTTGGGCTCCCCATATAAGATGATGAGAAGGGCCAGTAAGATGATTGGGAGGTTGGAGTAATGGTGTATGTGAAGAAGATAAGGAAACTGGGTTTGCTCCGCCTAAAGGAGAAAAGGCTAAAGGGGGATGGTCTAACTGATGTCATCAACCACCTAAAAGGGTATTTTAGCAAAGATTGATCCAAACTCTTTTCAGAGCAGCACAGTGCAAGAGACAACAGGCACAACCTACAATAAGAGAAATTCTGACTCTATATAAGGAAAATAGGTTCCTCTCCCCCTGAGGTGGTTCAGCACTGGCACAGATGTCCAGAGAGTCCAGGGAATCTTCACCCTTGGAGCTCTTCAGGACTTATCTGAACAAGAACCTGATCTAGCCTTGGAATTGGCACAACTCAGAGCAGGGAGTTGGAGGAAACACGTCTAGTGGTTCCCACTTTTCCATGATTGCACTGTGAGGAGAAATGTGGAAATTTATCTCTGTCCCCTCACATTTGTCTTCCGATTCATGGAATTTCTTTAAACAGCACATGTGCCACAGGTACATGGTAACTTCTTCATAAAACAGTGGAAATATATTCATAAATAATGTGTCCTAAAATGTTTTCCATTCTTTGTTGTGTCTTCATTTCACTTTTCCCATGGTTATTGTGCCTGGAAGTTTAAGGTGTTTTCGAAATGCGATGTTTTTTCTAAGTTGGCTTTGTTTCTTCCATACACTACTTTCCTGTTAGTCTTCAAATGGATGAGTTAGTTGACAAATACAACATAGTCTTTCATCAGCAATAATGATGATCTTTACTCTGGTTTGCTATTAAAAAAAAAAAAAAGGAAGTAACATAGTTTGTCAGCTACAAATTAGAGGTTTTTCAGTTGGTAACTTGAGAAAAGATGCACCAGGAAGAAAATCAGGTTCAGCAAGAGAGGCTGAGAGCTGTGTATATGTGGCAATATACCAAGTTGGAGACAGTCTGAGCTGAAGTCTGAGGCTTCAAGGCAAAACTTGTAAGTCTGCCAAAAGCCTTGAGAGAAAGCAGGTTCAGAAACAAGGTTTAGACCACAGGCAGGTGGAACCATTGGCAGTATACAGGAGAATGGTATCTGTCTTAATGTAAAAAAAATAAAAATGAAAAAGACCAAAACTCAAAAAACCTTCCATAACACAGTCTACAGTTCTTGTTTCTTTCTCTATACCAGGAATTAATGTAGTCTCAGAGACTGCAGGACACATTGTACATAGTTCAATAGGAGAGGCTAGAGAAGAGAAGGTTAAAGGGGGAGTTTTCTAATTGATGTCTTCTGTAGCTAAAGGAGATGTTAGAGAGACAAAATAGCCAAATGCTTCTCAGAAAAAAGGACAAGAAACAACAGGCACAACTTGCAACAAGGGAAATTCTGTCTTTGCATAAAAAAATAATCTCCCCTACCCCCAAAGATTTTCCGGGTGGCACAAATGCCAAGACAGTCTGGGGAATCTCCACCCTTGGAGGTGCTCAGGGCTCACCTAGCACCTTGATCCTGAGCACCCTGATCTAGCCTTGAAGTTAGCGCAGCTCTGAGCAGAGTTGGAGAGGAAGCATTCAGAAGTACCTTCCAGGCTAAAGCTTGCTGTGAGTCTGTGATAACATTGTAGTATGGGAACAAACTGAAAGTTATCTTAGCTTTTGTAGCCCTAGTTGGGTTCCTCTTATGGATTCACACCAGATTTCTGAATGTGATTTCCATTCCCCAGGAGTCATGTAATCTTTAGCTAACCTTTGTTCAGGATACAGCTTGAAACTTCATGTCATATTGCCCACGGTGCATAACTTCTTGGTGGTGTTGGTGGTGAACGCCACCCTGTGTGGCGTTTTGAGGAGCCCTCAAAATGGGTTTGAAAAGCCATTTTAGCCCTTGACAAGAAAAAGGTGCCCAGCCTACTTTTTCTGAGTGCACTCTGGTACCCTTTGATTGTCTGTTTGTTTTGACCTATCTGGCTGCTCCTCTGCTGCTACACAGCACCAGCACTTTGACCTGGAAGATGCCATATGCCACAAGATGTACTTAGTGGTTGCTCCAAGTTTCGCTCTCTCATACTGTTCTTCAACATTGTCACATCAGGCTTTGCGCCTTCAAACAACTTTAATTACCTCCTGCCATACTGCAGGCAAGAGGTAATTGCACATACCCTCTGTTTAAAGCTGTTAATCACCTTGTTGGTGGGCTCCCGCTATTCCCCACTTTGAACTGAACCCCATCCCTCTCTGAAAATGATTATGTCTTAAGGCACAGGGGCACTGATGGGACCCAGAAGTTACCTAGAACAAATCTGTGGATAAGGACACATTGCTCTGGGTTAGGGAATGGACCATGGCCCATTTTTCTTGGGTTGTGCAGAGGTAGCCTCAAGACACCTTTTGGTTGAGGCTCTATGAAAGACCTGCTCAGGTAGACAGAAATTCATGACCTTCTGGCCTTAGAATTCATCCTGGCCACTCAGATTCCCATCATAACACAAGACCATCCCTTCTCACAACTCTTGTGGGAGATCTAACAGGCTACTTTGGGAACACACGATAGTAGAAAGTGCCAAATACACTGGCTTTTAAAACTGGTGTATTACACATCACTTAGGATTTAGACAAAATAAAATAAAACCTATCTGCTCACCTTCCACCACCCTCAGGCAGTTCAGGGCCAAATCTTGGAGAAAGAGCAGAAGAGCAGTTTCTCCCTTTCAACAGCTCTATGTCTTCCAAAACTGTTTCTACCCATTATGCTTTCTATTTCCCTGTTTTCACCAGGACAGCACAATGTTAGGTGACCTGTTAACCCACTCACCTGCCCCAGGTGACAGGACCAGGCGTCTGTCCACACTCGGCTCTAGACACACGTGTGCCTTGTGCACACAGACTCCTAGGGTGGGGTTTTTGGGGCACTCTCTTGCACATGAGCATCCTGGGATTCCCTGCCAAAGTGAAAGAGATGGAGTAAAACACCCTTACGCACCCTCCACCCTCTGGAGGGCTTTCCACAAGGCATTTCTTCTACAGTGACAGAAATGTGCATGTTTCAATGAAAGATGAGATGCTGCCTCCTCCACGTGTCTTGAGGATGTGATTTCAGGTATATGCCTTCCTTGTGCCAGGTCTTGTCTCTTGAATGTTATGAAGCCACCCAGAAGGGAGAAGTAAGATAAATATAGCTGTAACTCTGAGACTGGTTGACAGAGCTAGGTGACAGCACGTGGCCACACCTGCCAATTCTGCTACTCACTCTCTGCTTTCCTCCCTTCTTTCTTCTGTTTGTCTGTCTCTCTTTGTCTCTTTCACCAGTAGCAGCCATATTATTACACGGATGTCCTGACTGTGGGTTGCGCCGTGGGGGTCGGCTGCTGCTTTGGGACACCACTTGGAGGCAAGTGGCTGTTCTGTTTCCTTTTCCTCAGGTACCTAAATCCTCTCCTGCCTAGTCCTCTCCTCCTCTCCCCCTTTCCTGCACCGTAGTCTTGATCTGTCACCTACTCTGACGCATTCTATTTTCCACATGTTGTCAGCCTTCTGGAGGCAAGAGGGGAAGGGTCTCTAGAACAGTGGTCTCCAAATGGGGGTGTGCAGACCCCAGGGGGTACCTAAGATGATCCTTTGGGTTGTGGGAAGAAAATACTTGAATTTTTTTTTTTTTTTTTAATCTAAAAAATAAATAAAGAAAGCTTCACTAATATTCAGTACATGTATTGGCAGTGGTGCCCTCATTCGGTCCATATGTCAGGTGGCCAATTGACACATACAGTGCTTGAGGTGTCCTGGGTGTAATGTGGAGGGTTAACAGTGGTGCCCTCACTCATTTCCTTGCTTTCAGCATATTGCAATATATTGCAATCACTGCGTGCCAGCTTAAGTGGATTTATGGATTATATTATCAAGTGATAAGTAAACAAACCCTCACTAAATGGACAAGTGGCTTAAAAAGATTCCTGCAAAGGAGCCATGGATTGAAGATAATACTAATGATGCGAGCACAGACAAATGACAAGAGAATGGCAGAGCTGACACTTCTACTCTTACTACATGCTCTTCATCAGCCACGTTGCAGGGTACAAACGATGACCAGCTAATCAAGTCTGACAAGTTGGCCAAAAAAAAATCAAAATTATCAAAGGCTATTTTAAATATGGATTTACATCTGCTGTCATTAACAAGGAAGCTCACCCTAAGTGCAGATTGTGCTTTGAGAAGTTAGCTATTGATGGCATGAAGCCATCAGAATTAGCAAGACATTTAAAAGGTAAGCATCCAGAACATGAAGACAAACCTCTACAGTTTTTTTCAGCAGTGTTTCAAGCTATGTGATATCCAATCCAGTACTTTACAGAATTTCACTGAATTTAATGATAAACATTTAGAAACCTCATTTGAGGTTTCTTGCTTCATAGAAGAAGACAAAAAGCCACTGGGGAAGCATTTTTTTTCCTGCCACAGTAAAAATGGCTGCAATAATACAAAGAAAGCAATGTGATGGCAAACTAAAATGCACTCCTTCATCAGCAAACACTGTTGGAAGATGTGTAGGAAAAAAAAAAAACAACCAAAATGACAGAGTCACAGCATTATAGGGGTTGGAAGATCAGAGATCAGAGATCAGAGCTCATCACCTTCGGAGATCATCTTCTTGCTGGAGGTTTGAAGAAACAAGTATCAGTACAAATCACACAGTGTGAGAGGCTTGCTATACAGCTGGATGAAAGTACAGATGTTATTAACATGTCTCAGCTTATGATATTTGCTAGATTCTCTTCTGATTGTGAAATACATGAAGAACTATAGTCTGTGAGCCACTAAAGGAAAGATCTACCAGAGAAGCTATATTCTCAACAGTAAATTACTTCATTAATACAAACGTTTTACGGAAAAGCTATGCAAGTGTAACAACTGGTGAAGCAACTGCTTTGACTGGCATAAGAAGAGATTGCGTGGTAAGGTTACATAGATAGCACCACACCTGAAAGTCATTCACTGTGTTGTTCACAGGCAAGCTATTGCAGCAAAGAAATTGGAGCCAGACATGCACAAAGTGCTACAGGATGTCATCAAGGTGGTTAGTTTAATAAGAAACAAGACCTTGAAACAGTAGAATCTTTACAATACTTCATCACGAGATGGGGAGTGACCATGGAAATACTTTATACCATACAGACATTTGCTAATTTTCTCACAGCAATGAGCTGTTTTTGACTTTGAAGACCAATTACACATTTTTCTTTTACAAAAAGATGGGTGTTCTGAATTTGCTGATCTTTTCTGTGATGACAAGCATCTGTCAGTAGCACGCTACCTAGCAGTTATTTTCAAAAAAATAAACATACTTGATGTGAAGGTGAAAGTGGTGTTCTATCAGTGGTTGAGAAAGTAACTGCTTTTCAATAGAAACTTGTGGAGATTTTGTGATTTTGTTGCCAAATACAATGTAAGTGTGTCAATAACTCGACTTGTAGACATAAAAGACTTGGAAACAGAAAATTCTAACCTGTTTAAAAATCTTCCAGATTAGGAGTTTCAGTGGGTTTTGAACCCATTTGTTAAAGATCTACAAAGTCAACACCTTCTGATTAGTTTGCAAGAACAACTGATTGACATCAGGGAAGATGGAAATTTACTATCCAAATTTCAACAAAAATCTTTGAAAAGTGGTGAATGGGATTGAAAAAATAGTATCATGATTTAGTCAGCACAGCCAATGATGCGTTTCTTGCATTTGGATCTGTGTATCTTTGTGAGTTATCTTTTTCAGCTATGATAGCCATTAAGACCAAATATCAAAATAGACTGAGCATAGAACCAGACCTTTGAATCACTTTATCACAAAGTATTAAATCAAGATTTTTCAAAAAGAAAGAATATCAATATTTTTAGTGAGAACAAAAAATTTGTTGTTCCATTAATATATAAAACAAATTACTTTTTAAAAATTTTGTTTATTTTATCTTTATCTTGTCTTTTTTAATTGTTTTTTTGTGTGTGTGTATGTTTTGAATTGTACTTAATATATTAGTACAGTAATAA